ATAATTCTTTAGTATATTACTTGTGTGGTGTAGAAGAGAATAGAAGTGAATCATTTATTGCTTGCAAACCAATGATGGTAAGATGATGTCATGGGGTAGGACTGGATAAGTCTGACTTCTTCCTACTCCATTCAAGCATGTACTAGGTATAAGCAAATTGATATTGGATTAGCACTTGTTGGATATGTGTAAAATTATGTGTGTTGACATATCAACTGTCTTTACATGCTTGAAAGAATAAATCAGATCAAAATAAAAAAAATCAAATCAAATGTGCTTACCAGAGATCTGCAGAGATATTTTGTCACTCTCCTGTGTGTAGAATGGACCTGTACCTCTTTTGGCTTTGCAGTGGTACTGTCCGCTGTTAGAATGAGCTATAGAAGCTATGGTGTAGGTGTTAGTTTTCAACTCTTTAATTTTATTTCCATTATGGTACCACAAATAATCCCATTCGGAGAACACGCTGACCATGCATGTGAAGGTGACAGACTCTCCAGGGAACATGTCAAAGTTTGGATCCCGGATCAGAGTGGGCTTAGGTTGAACTGGTGATCAGAAAGAAGAAAGAGAAAAGCAATTAATTAACGAAATTAATTTTAAACTTATATTCTGTCCAGACACAGAGCAAGCATGTGGGTGATATAACATAATGAAACTTACCATGAACTTTGACTTCAAGTGAGTTACTAATTTGAGTGGTAACACCCTTAATTTTGTGTTGACCTTTACAGGCATACTTTCCAGAATACATCTGCGTTGCAGCAGTGATTGTAAGGACCGATTGGTCTGCTGACAAGTTTGGATCTGCACTTTGTATTTCAGTTCCATCTCTGTACCAGATGAAGTTCCAGTCAGAGCTGCCACTGATAAAACATGTGAGCTCCACTTTTTCAGAAGGAAACAACTCCAACCATGATGACTTTAGCTGCAGCAACGGTACAGGAGGCTCTGGAAATATATTAACAACATTACTGATATAAAAATAACATTATGCTAAAAAAGCTGTGCACATTTAGGTCCACTGACATTAGCAGCCATACTGTGAAGGTTGATGTTTAAAATGCTTCTTGTCTTGGTTTTTGGTTTTAAGTACAGTTATCAGCGTACTGCACCTGGCAAAGATTAAAATAAATACCACCAATCCCCTCTTTTATAATCTAGTTAGTCAGTTTAGAAATACATAACATTACAGACTATAGTAAAGATTGTCAAAATACATGCTTACAATAATAAAGCACCTTGATATAAAATTAATATATAAATACTATATTATCTCTATAACAGTTCAGTTTTATTTTGCACATTTTAATTGGTTTCTTCTGAAAAGCAGAGACAAAAGGCAGGGAAGATAGATAAAAACCAGTAGAGACAGAAAAATAAAATAGCTACTAAAACTTGTCGACCAATTGTACGCTTTTAAAATACTGACGGTTGATTTCAGGAAGCTGTGCCTTTCCACAATAAATCTACAGGATTTTCAAGTCAACGTCTGCATGATCATTCGTAGTCTTTGCACATTTACAGCACAACAACTTAGATGGAACTCTCACCATAGACAGTTGTAATCACCGGTGTTACTGATGTAGGACTGGCTGAAGAAATGTATCCAAACAGAGGTGTGACTGGTGGACGAGAGGAAAGGTATGGAGAACAGACAGCCTTTGTGAAGATTTAAACAGCAACAGCAGCGATAATAATTAGTCAATGGACTATTTTGATTATCAATCAATCCATCATTTTAGTCTTTTTTAGGCAAAATTGCTGAATGTTCACTGGCTTCTCAAATATGAAAATGTATTGCTTTTCTTTGTTAGGTATGACTGTAAACTGAACCAGACGTTGCACTGTTGGTTGAATAAAATATGCAAAATTTTACCTTGTAACATTTGATAGACAACACAATCAACTAACTGTGAAAATAATCAGCAAAAGCACCAATAAAATACAGTTCAACGTAGCATTTCACAACCACAAAATGGTGTCACAGGGATGTGCAGAGTGGAAACATCTCTGACATTCTCTAACAAATGAATATTATAAATTACTTAAAAGGATTTGCGCATTGCAAGACTAGGCTATACTGTGTATTACAGTATATTATCAGGTGTGATTTCACTCACTACATACAGTATAATATTAAATGAGTCACAGTACACACATACAGTTGACAAAACAAGACATGTAAAAGCATAAAGTTTGCATTACAGAGTAATGAAATATGAACTTAGACTAGTAGGGGAACTGCCAGAGTCATGGCAACAAAGTACTTCATGTTCCTCATATTACCCATGATCTACTTCCTAAACATTACTCTGATTCTGACTCCGTGCAGGCTGCAAAAACATTTTCTATATAAATGTAGGTATAGTGTTTTAGTACAATCACACATTTAACTTGGAAACTGAATACCTAATTATTTATTGTGTGCTTTAGTTCAACAAAAACATATTAGATTTTATTTTTAGGCTAAAGGTTCTTAATGATTAATAATGTAAAACTAGCCTCAAGCTGCTAGTGTAGTCGGCAGAGAATACATTTTGATGTTTGATCAATATGTCAAACATGTCTTAGCATCTGTATCCTGAGCTTCACAGACAGCAGTGAAATCTGTCAAACCAAATAATGATTAAGTTGGAATCATATTTAAATTATAATATGCTTGACACTTAGATAACTCACAAGAAGTAATACAATTGCCTAAAAACTTACATATGACACTGAAGACCTTGATCAGCCACATTTTCCTTTGAGCTGCATGTGTCGAGACTGTGCTACTGAGTTGACTCATGTGAGGTTCAGCTGAGGAAATACATGAGATGGGTGTGTGGCATGTTCATTTCTGAACTCACCTCAGGACTGCAGCTTTCCTGTCTCTATGACATCTGCTTTTTTTTTTCTCAACACAGGAAATGTGTTGGTCAACCACACTCAGATGCTTGTGCTCCCAACATAAATTTAATTTGCTGATTTCTGCTGAAAAGCAATGAGCATTTAGGGAATTGAAACAATGTGCTAATGTGTTGTATTCCAAACAAATATTATTTGTTGTTTACCACATGAAAAAGGGGACAAGTGTGTTTGAAATGCACGTTTCCTTTCAGATCTGAAACCTTAACAGTTTACTGTTTAGTTACACCCCGTTGTTGCCTATTTAGATGGTGTTTGCCTTAATGTGAGCTTAAATGAAACCGATTTCTTATTGCCAGCAGTGGCAGGATTAAAAAGAAGAACTAAAACTAGAACTCTTTCTAAAACCAAAGTTACAAATTTATTTGATGCAGTTTCACAGAAGATCGTTTACCCCGTCGGTGTGTGTAATTCTGGGAACATGAGCAGTTTTTTTTTTTTTTTTTTTTTTCCCCTGCCTTGCTGTTGTGTGAGTGGGTACTGGGCCATCACAGTGGCACCCTTTTTATCTTCATTTGAAAGTCTTTCTCTTGATATGCAAATTAAAAGCAGTTTACTCAGAACCTACCCTAGCTCTTCAGGAAACACACATATATGTACACATAAAAAAAACCCAACAACTAAATATTCAATGTTACACATTGTCACCTCGGTAGTAAGAACGACTGCTTCAGAAGTGAAGTTAGTGTTACCAGTGGGTGGTAAAGGCTATGACTTCTCATTTGGCTGAGAAGATCTGACAGTATGTAACACATTTCTGTTGATCAGCCTGAGGTTTTGTCTCATTGTGGTCACCATAAGATGTCAGTATAACACAAAGAGCTGAATCATCTTTGGTCACACGTCATGCCCTGGGCTCCACCTTCATTGTATCTCTGACAAAGCATTAAATTTGCTGGTTCTGGCACTTTCACAGGGGTGTAAACTGGTCAGGTTCCCAAAAGATGAGAACAACAAAGTAGGGCAGGGCACCCATGCTCCTTAGATCTTAATCTGACTGCTTACAATCATCTTAGTCAAATCATTATATTGCAACTTTTTAAAGACCCCCTACACTCAAAAATAATTTTTTTATGCCCTAAAATGTACTGACTGGTGGATGTGCAGAGTTTGTCACTAAAGGGGTGTTTTCACATTATTCTGTTGAGGGGGGCAGTGTATTTTACATCTCAGCACATAAACAATCTATTTTGTTTTACAACAGCTAGCTTCAAATACTGAAGGTCCAGATTCAGAATGAAATTTTGATCTACTTTATGTAGATGTACACGACTCACATACGGAAGAGTATTAGGGCCACTGCATAAATTTTTTTTAAAATTCTGACTTTAGGGCCACTGCATAATTTTTTTTTTTAATTCTGACTTTAATCAAATTCTGACTTTAAACTCAGAATTCTGACTTTATTCTCAGAATTTTGACTAAACTCTGAATTCTGAGAAGTCAGAATTCTGAGAAGTCAGAATTCTGAGAATAAAGTCAGAATTAAAAAAAAATATATATTTATGCAGTGGCCCTAAAGTCAGAATTTAAAAAAAAAATTATGCAGTGGCCCTAATACTCTTCCGTACACGTGGATGTCTCATTGCATCTGTTTTAAAAAGGATAAACTTAAGAGTATTGACATACTATATAACTCTACCTAAGGTTATTGAGTAGGCAATTTTTTCATTTTCTTACATACCAAAAGACTTTTGGTATGGTTGTTGTATATTTTATATATTGATATAAAATCTGTCTTTATGGCTATTCATTTTTAAGTAACAAAAACAAGAACTGTTTCTGGGATTGCACTCTTGAATCAAGTTTTAAAAAACCTGGATCCTGACAGTGAATACGCTCCAAAGATACTGTAAGATTTGAGTCTAATAAAATCTAGTTACTTTATAAGCTTTAGTTACTTCTCATACCTTTAATTCCCTTTCATAACATTATCTTACTTGGTTATGCATATTACAGCTGTATTGATGATTGTCCAGAACTACCGAGCTTTGGTTATTTTAATACATTTGTTTCCCTTGCTTATATACAGCTGTAATGAAACAGAATCTGCAGAGACTAGATGTCTGCATCTCTTTGTGACCAGACAGCCTATTTAGATTTTAGCAAAGGACTGTTTTACACTCACACCTTGACCCACTTAGCACATCCCAAGCTTTGCTTTGTCTTGGGATGACCTGCAGAGGCCGGGGGCTCATCACCTGAGACACACACACACACCTAGATTTACCATATTTCAACATGGAGGCGCGAGTTCCGGCTCACACCAAATGACCAATAGGATCACAAACTATTGAAGGTTGCACCCCTGGTCAGGGCGAAGCAGCCCAAGAAGATAAATGTGTTGTAAAAACTTAATTCAGGATTCAGAAGTTGGTTTTCCTGCAGGAGCTCTATCTCTCTGAATCCAGCGCTGTAAGACTTTCCTGTGATCAGACTTTCAGTAAACCTTCTGTTGATTTTAAATAGTCCTCTCCTGTCCTCACTTCTCGTGCTTCCAACAAAAGAACTGGGTTAATTTCTAACACAATATTGTATTAATTACTGGGTTCAGGAAGGATATGGGCTCCTCTTTTCTGAAGAAAGATCGAGCCACACCTGTGTTGTTTGGAAAGGGCTTCAGAATAAGTTGGAACCCAGAGCACTCTGTAATTGCTTTTCTTGAATACTGTAATAAATATCTTAAAGACAGATTTGACTTCGAACATTCTTCATAAAAGAACATGCAGGACGGTTGAGTCCACACTACCTCCCTGTTAAAACACGTATCTGTACCGACTGATCAGGCTGCTTGAATTTCACTTTCTTTCTCTGTAACGAGCGGAAAATCCATCAACTCTGCCTAAAAACACGATTTCTTCCTGATGATCTTACATGAAAACTGTTTATGTCCAGTCCATTGTGTTGCTGGTCGGCCTGTCAGCTTTGAGTCAACTTGTAGTGTGTCTCTTCTTCTTGGATAATTATGCAAGAATAGATTGCAAAGATAAGTGTCTGGAAACTATAGATAAGATATTGTTAATTTATGCTATTTTACAGACGTGAAGTCTGACGGGCTTGAACTATTCATTCATGTCTGAAGCATGAGTAAGGGGTTTTTACAACAGAATCAGGGAAGTAAGTGACACAGCTAACTGCATGTTCATTTTTGGTTGGAAAGAAATGCCTGAAAATAGAAGATAACAACACACACACACCCACACACACACCCATACTGCCTACATGAACATTCTAGAATATTGATGTGTAACGTACCACCCATGTATAGGGCAGTCCCAGCCCGAGAAGATACAGTGCCTTGCGAAAGTATTCGGCCCCCTTGAACTTTGCGACCTTTTGCCACATTTCAGGCTTCAAACATAAAGATATAAAACTGTAATTTTTTGTGAAGAATCAACAACAAGTGGGACACAATCATGAAGTGGAACGAAATTTATTGGATATTTCAAACTTTTTTAACAAATAAAAAACTGAAAAATTGGGCGTGCAAAATTATTCAGCCCCCTTAAGTTAATACTTTGTAGCGCCACCTTTTGCTGCGATTACAGCTGTAAGTCGCTTGGGGTATGTCTATCAGTTTTGCACATCGAGAGACTGAAATTTTTGCCCATTCCTCCTTGCAAAACAGCTTGAGCTCAGTGAGGTTGGATGGAGAGCGTTTGTGAACAGCAGTTTTCAGTTCTTTCCACAGATTCTCGATTGGATTCAGGTCTGGACTTTGACTTGGCCATTCTAACACCTGGATATGTTTATTTGTGAACCATTCCATTGTAGATTTTGCTTTATGTTTTGGATCATTGTCTTGTTGGAAGACAAATCTCCGTCCCAGTCTCAGGTCTTTTGCAGACTCCATCAGGTTTCCTTCCAGAATGGTCCTGTATTTGGCTCCATCCCTCTTCCCATCAATTTTAACCATCTTCCCTGTCCCTGCTGAAGACAAGCAGGCCCAAACCATGATGCTGCCACCACCATGTTTGACAGTGGGGATGGTGTGTTCAGGGTGATGAGCTGTGTTGCTTTTACGCCAAACATAACGTTTTGCATTGTTGCCAAAAAGTTTGATTTTGGTTTCATCTGACCAGAGCACCTTCTTCCACATGTTTGGTGTGTCTCCCAGGTGGCTTGTGGCAAACTTTAAACGACACTTTTTATGGATATCTTTAAGAAATGGCTTTCTTCTTGCCACTCTTCCATAAAGGCCAGATTTGTGCAGTATACGACTGATTGTTGTCCTATGGACAGAGTCTCCCACCTCAGCTGTAGATCTCTGCAGTTCATCCAGAGTGATCATGGGCCTCTTGGCTGCATCTCTGATCAGTCTTCTCCTTGTATGAGCTGAAGGTTTAGAGGGACGGCCAGGTCTTGGTGGATTTGCAGTGGTCTGATACTCCTTCCATTTCAACATTATTGCTTGCACAGTGCTCCTTGGGATGTTTAAAGCTTGGGAAATCTTTTTGTATCCAAATCCGGCTTTAAACTTCTGCACAACAGTATCTCGGACCTGCCTGGTGTGTTCTTTGTTCTTCATGATGCTCTCTGCGCTTTAAACGGACCTCTGAGACTATCACAGTGCAGGTGCATTTATACGGAGACTTGATTACACACAGGTGGATTCTATTTATCATCCTTTGTCATTTAGGTCAACATTGGATCATTCAGAGATCCTCACTGAACTTCTGGAGAGAGTTTGCTGCACTGAAAGTAAAGGGGCTGAATAATTTTGCACGCCCAATTTTTCAGTTTTTTTATTTGTTAAAAACGTTTGAAATATCCAATAAATTTCGTTCCACTTCATGATTGTGTCCCACTTGTTGTTGATTCTTCACAAAAAATTACAGTTTTATATCTTTATGTTTGAAGCCTGAAATGTGGCAAAAGGTCGCAAAGTTCAAGGGGGCCAAATACTTTCACAAGGCACTGTAAATGTGAATGATTTGTGATTATCGAGGCTCTTGGAGACTTGTCATCTCTCAGAGCCCAGCGCTGTAATAACTCTGCATTTAACCAGAAGAAAATAAATCTACTTAGAGCTGATTCCTGTTTCCTGAGTGTTACTTCTTGGGGCCTTCAGACAAAAGAACCGGTCAGAATTAAAAAGCCCAAGAAGATAAAATGTATTGTAAGACCTTAATTCAGGGTCAGTGGATGGAACTCCTGCGGGACCTCTATCTCTCTGATCCCAGCGCTGTAAGGCCTACCTGTGATCAGACTTTCAGTAAACTTTCTGCTGATTTTAAACAGTCCTCTCCTGTCCTCATTTCTCGTGCTTCCAACAAAAGAATCGGGTTAATTTCTAACAATACAAACAGAGCTTTTATATTGAATGGTTTAATTTTGTCTACATTTTTTAAAATTGTTACTTTTTACTCTTTTCCTGCAAAACCTGCTTCTTAGGTTGTCTAGTCCTATAAACCTCAAAATGTCATCTAGCCCAACATGATGTGTAGCATTGTCTTGCAAGCATCACATAGTATTTTGAAATGTAAGGAATCATTTTTTTATTGAGTCAGCTGTAACAAAGTAAATGGCCACAGGCTGAAAAACATGATAAATATAGCTTTACACATATTACCAAACTGGGATGGGTGAGGTGGCCCAGGTCTTCCCTGTGTACTGAAAAAAGTGTGTCAGTCAGTTGATCTGTTCCTTTCTTCATTATACACACTTCTGCACAGCCAGCCATGAGTCTTTTGCTCACCTCCTCGAACATTCTGGACAAGATAAGAGGGTTAGAAAAATTTATTTCTCACAGGCGTGTGCGCACACACACACACACACACACACACACACACACAGACATAAACTCACCTTAAAGCATAAGACCTGGACTTCTGCTGGTTCTTTAACGGTGCTAGTGGGAAGACAAAGCAGGAGCAAGGTAAACTGGGGTCATGATGTCTTAATCACTTCAGCCAGGAAGGTGCTGGGAGAAACTGTGACTGTATGTGTGCGTGTGCACAATCTATTGCCTATTTCTCATTGAGGATTAACAGGCTTGGTTTCTGCCCTTTTAGCCCAATCTCTCTTCTTCTCACAGCAGTTCACTAAGCCTGATGACTCATGGTAATATGAAGAGTTCAGCTGTGTGTCAGATCATCTGGAGTCACTTTAGAAGCTGTGGAGTGCTGTGCTGACATCACCCCTACTCTCACCCAAAGGTGATTCCTGTATAATCCCTTGTTTTCCCCTTGAGGGTTCTACCCATGTATAGCTGTGCCTTATGGGACACTCTGTACAGACTTACAAGTGTGATCATGTAGGGTGCAATTTACATTTGGCATTAAAATGCTCTTTAGATAATGTGATCACAAGTGGACAACTGAAAATACAGGTCAGGTGTGAATGCATCCAAATACACCAAGGTTAAGTAAAGAACTGATCATTCAAGCCACACCACAGGATGGTCAGGAAGGATATTTTCCTTTATGAGTAAACGCATAATCATAAATAGTGATTAAATATCCTCCTAGAAGTGACATGTTTGTGTCAGAAACACTGGATTACTGAACATTCTCATTTACATATCACATGTTCCTTACCTCTGGTTTAATTGCCCTTCTCCTTGTCGGCCTCTGGAATAATAACCTCTGTTTGGAGAGAATTAAATTGTGTTTTTAAATTGATTTAAATACTAGTATATTATTACAGTCTGTTCACTAACGTTTGACGATGGGGAAGCTGGAATCATCAACTGTGACTAAATTCCCAGCATTTAGATTAAAGGCATATTGTAACTCATATATATTTTGACAATTAAAGGGTACGTCTGCTGATATTATTCATGTTTTTTGCTATTGTCAACAAATCCCATGACAAGACTAAAAGCTAATCAACAAAACTAATAAGTTATGTGCATTCAGAATCAAATACCACTTATTCTTCTGTGCAAACAGACCTGCATTGTTATCCAAAACACACAAATTAGTCACTCTTTCATAGGGTGACATGTTTCTTTATTATCACAAAAAAGGACACTACCGTTTGTTTTCAGCTGATCCCACATACACTGCCCTGCTGCTGGAAATAATCACTAGTGGAGCAAATCTGCAGCTCTGATAAGTACACCAACTACTTCTGTTTGAGTGATGTTTGCTAAACATCTGGTGCCTGGCTATTTTGGAAATTACTGAGCCTTTAAACAGGTAGGCTGAGGAAGTCAGATTAAAACATTGTTGGTTTTAGTCTTTTTGTGGAATTTGCCGACAATAACAATCATGTAGAATATTGTCAACCAGTAACCATTAACTCTGTCCTCGCGTTATCTGGTGATACATACGTTTGACCTCGAGCTTGCAGGAGACAGTGGCCTCTCCCTGGGCATTCTTGGCTCTGCAGGTGTACACACCACCATCGAAGCTGCAGGGCTTACGAATCTCGAGGGAGCAAATGCCCTGACTGGAGATCTGACGAAACTTGGGGTCATCACCAATGATCATCTGATTTTTCAGCCATTCAATCTTTGGCTAAGAGAAGGAGACAAACTCACAAACTTATCTCACAGACATTCCTAGTACCAAACCTGTTTTAATTTGAGTAGGTTTATGTCAGTATAGAAAGACTTGCAGCCTTTCCAGTATTGCGTGAAACCAAATTAGTCAGTGTGCTTCCTTTTTCTCCACCCCCGATAGATAGATTTGACAACAATAATAAAATTATTAATTAATGTTTCCATACAATTTAAACTGTAGAGGATAAAAACACGGGAGGGAATAACATGTGGCAGATGGTTTAAATCAGGCAAAACTAATACATAAAAAAACACAAGCACAATTAGGACAGGATATATATTGTCATGCATGTTTAGCAGGCATAACGTATGCCTGCTAAAAATCACCATGTCAGTATTGTCAGTGTGAATATGTTAGAATTTAATACATGTACTGTGTCTAATTATACCCTCACACAGCTGCTAGCATGGTCCTGCTGACATATTTTTGGCATGCAATAGAGAGCAGAGCAAAACACACCCACAGGAAAGCATTTTGTGTTTCACTTCAGTTCAGTTTAGCTGGCACTGTATTTTAAAGATAAAATCCATCCGCTGGCAGTGGACCTAGCATTTCTGGGTCTTCTTCATTAGTGGGGAGTTTTAAACAAAAACTATGCAAATCCATCTATCCACACATCTCTCCCTCTCCTATTATTTTATCTTACTCTGTCTCTTTCCTGTCCGATCACATTTCTGTGTTTGGCCATCCATGTGTGTGGATGTTACATGGATAGTAAGTCACACTGATAACAGAGCTGCAGCTTTGCAAGGGTGGCAAAAATAGTACCTTCTGTGATATAGTAACACTTCACTTAGCCAAGAGAGGACAACAAGCTATACCTCTTATCACAGTCTCTTCTTTGTCTTTGCTGCTTATCTTTCCCAACATACTCTCTGCCTTTCTGCATGACAGCTTTTTATCAGAGACAGCGGGACAAGTTATCACACTACATGCCTTTCTGCTGGACCCCCTCAGCAGTTCTTAATGGGCTTTGAACTCTGAGCCAGGACGCAAACACACGCGTTATACAGTAGCACACTTGCAGCCAGAAACTGTGCCATTAATTGTTATATGAAGAGTGAGTAAAAGTGTATGATTGGGCAGACACGACAGTATGAGTGATTGAGAGGGGAGAAACTGAAATGAGTGTCTGTGATTGGTAACACTGAGGGGTCAGCCCGTGACAGCAGTTTCATATGAAAAAGGCATCACAGGCCTCTTCTTCTTCTTCTTCCCTACAGATGCTGACTGGATATATTTTCACACAGCTGCTCTGATTGCAGAAGTCAAGCCTGTTGGTCTATAGGGAGAAGCATGGCAAGATTCATTTAGATATGATGGGTCTGGGGCTATGGATCCCAATTTTAGGCCTAGAGCACAAATTGGCAACTGGGCGCTCATCCTAAAACACAGATATCCACTTGGATGTCCTTGATGAGCTAGGGTTTCACTGTATAAGCCATAAACATACTGTGCTCATAGGCATGTGGACAAATGCTGCATTAATGATTCACACCATGGTATCTGGACTTCCTCAGCTGTCTTTGAAACGTCTATATCTGCCAGCCCACTCCCATCTATTACTCATTAATTCTGCTCTTCTTGAGTCCTCATGTTGGCTTTTATGCATAAACGTGAGGACAATCAGGCACACTGAGTGCATTCAGAGCCTGCATGAGCTCCTCTTTGATTCGTCTCAGCTATACTGGCATGTGTAGGCTGCCAACCACTGCTGCCCTTGGTGAAAAGCCAAGGACAGTTAGGACGTATAATCAACTGCATTTCCACTATGGCCTGCCACCTAAGCCTTGTGTGTCCATCTTGACAACTGTAAAGATATGTTTAACCAGAGCAGAGGCCGCCAAGAACAGAACGAAACAACTCCACATAGACATACTATACCAGTCTAAGCCCTGCCCTGGTTGTAGAGAGGTTCTGTAGAACTGTGACATTAATACCTCATTTAAAGCAGTATCCCACACACAGGTTATTTACTGAGGGTCTCCAGTAAGAAGAAAACAGAGGCCATTTAAAATAACTACAAAACAGGATTCAGTTCAGTAAAATAAGAGAAATATCAAAGGATACATGTAAATGTCAAAGGATACAACCTTCATTTTTCCATGTAGTCAGAAGATGTTTTTCTAGTCCCTCATGTCCTCTAAACCTCCAGTCACAGATTAAAATACTAGCCAATCAGCAGCTGGCATTAGCTCTCAGTGACTCATAAGAGGAACACAACAATGATTCTGGACAAGATACACTGAGAAGATATGCTACTGACCTTCCTTTTTGAGGAATACATTAACTACTTTTTAAGATGTTTTAAGATCTGCAGATGCCCTGCTCTGGGCCTCAATACAAACAGCAATGACATATACACAATAAGAGTATGAGTGTATGCCTGACCTTGGGACATCCACGAACAGAACACAGGAGCTTAGTGGTGTATCCTACAGTGGCAGCGCGGTCGTTCAGGGGTGTGGTGAACTTCGGTGCCTCACTGAAGTCATGTTCCTGGTACTCAGGAGGCTTGTAAACAATACCTGTGAACACAAACGACATAAACATCTCACTGGTGACTCTATCTGGGTATTGCTTGTCAAATTAAAACACCAGTCTAAATTCCAGCATTTTAAACTAATACCAAGTGCTCTTCATTTAAGAACAATCATTGTGAACAGTTCTCAATCCAGACATGATCCTTGCAGGGAGGCAGGGTCATTAATTCCACACACATACACACACACACACACACAAACAAGTGACATTTGCTCTGCCAGCTGTCTTAATGTAATATTGTTAGAGGCTCTTAAAATGTATTTCAGCTGAACTGGCCAAGAGAGCTACCCTCTTATGATTAAAGCAGTGCCAAAGTCATTTCCACTCCTTAAGTCTACACACCTGCCTACACACACACACAGAACTTGCACAGACCTACCGCAGCTTATTAAGTACCCACTTGTACTGCAACTCTAGAACTACACTTTTTCACACATAAAAAAAAACAGACTCCCAGAAGAGGGAAAGTACTGTATGTACAGTATCAAGAAAGGTCACCTCTCTTATGGATGGTGGCCACCTCCTTGGTGACAGTGCTCGTCTTACTGATACCCACTTGGTTCTCTGCAAACACCCTGAAGGAGTATGAGTTGCCCATGACGAGGTCTGAGATGGTGGCAGTTAGCCTGTGGTGGTGTTCCAGCACCGTGAACCATTCCTGCAGGCGGAGACAACAGATGGTCAGTTTAGTAGGCACACATATGGGAAATGATATCATGATGTGTTCTCATTAAATCAGTTATCACCAGTGAGCAGTCAATAAACAAGTTGTTAGCCACATTTCTTCTTTTAGTTTATCATTTTTACAGCTTCTGTGATCAACTCCATTCCACACTCCTCACCCTGCCCTGATGCGCTGCTTGTGTTTTCTCTTATAAGTTTCTGTTAGTAGTAGAGATTAATCATAATGTATTCACTATAGACAAGAGAAATGCATTGATAATAGTTAGAATTGTATGTGCTTGTCCATAATTGTAACTTAGATGAAGATCTGATCATATTTAAAGACAAATGTATATATAAATGCAGATATGTACAAAAGGTTCACTTCTTTTTCTTGCCAACCTTATAAACAAAAAACTTGCTGGGTCCAATTCATGTTAACTTCAAGTATAAATGCAACTCATGTTTACAGTGTAATTGTTTGATGCAAGAATCTGTATTTGTATATGAACATCTTCCATACTCCAGTCTTCCTGTCGGCTTTCTGGACAGTGTATCCAGTGATGCTTGTGTTGCCGTTATCCTTAGGAAGAGTCCATTCCAGAGCAGCGTTGAAGCCCCAGATGTCCACCAGCTTCACACTGGCAGGAGGACCGGGCAGCTCTGAGGAGACACACTACTGTCAGCTATAAGATTAAAAATATAACCAATGTGTTCCTCAAAGTATGAAGGGTGTCTCCACTCAAGCACATTAGGTCAAAACTGACTGGCTGATGTATTTGTAAGGGAATGTTTTTAGTGCCTGGCTGTACATTAACAGCAGCAGTTGACAGCAGGTTCAAACACTCAGAGTCAAGGGGCATCTTTGTTAGAGGTGTAATGTATGATGGCTGATAATTTGAAATGCTGTTGGAGCAAGACGCAAGCCTCAAAACTAACATGTTAGCAAGTCAGCTGCATAACCTGCAGAGCAGATTCGTCAGGCAAGTCTGAAATCAGTCCAAATGTCAACATCTCGCATGTAGATGTTTTCATGTGTGCGTACAGTATGTGTATGCTTATTTACAATGTGTGCAAACATATGCATGACATGTGCAGCTTACCTACAATCTGAAGGGTGAAGGTGGCTTTATCTTCAAAGCTGTCTACTTTAACAGTGATCTCATAAACCCCAGAGTCGTCCCTCTGAGCAGTGCGGATAAATATGATGCTGTCAGTGTTGCTGGTCCTGATGTTGACCCTTTTTGTATCCAGTGACTGTCCATCTTTGAGCCAGGACACCACAGGTTTGGGCTTTCCCTGAAAACAAAGACACAAGACACCAGGTTAAATGTAATGATTGCAAACTGTATGTTTTTCATTAACTATACAGCAGGTGTCTGTGCTAGCTTACAAGAAAGGGGATGACCAGGTTGATCTGCTCTCCAACCTGCTTGACGCAGCAAGACCTGAGGATGCGAGGCATGCGGATCTTGGGACGATCTGAAAAGCCACAGACAAACTCAGGACAAGCATGTTTGTCTTCTGCTTCATCAACCTTTTTACATTTTAATTAACTGATCTGTTGCTGCTGTTGGTCAAGTTTGAATAACTGACATTACTTGGACAACAAACCTGTCAGTGATAGCTAGCATCGCCAGCTTTTTGTTGGGGTCTAAATGACAGGTCAACAAGACCTGAATAGACCAGCCACTGCTAGGCAAGGCTTCATGACTGAAAAGATCTAAAATTAACCCACAAGTTAGTTCACATAAAATAAACCATTTAAAATGTTTCACCAAAAATAAAATCAGTAAGTTGTTTTGACAGCAAACCTGAATATAGAAATTGGCTCTTTTACTTCAGTCTTTCAGGAAAAAAAAAAAAAAAGGAGTATAAAGTGTAATTTAGAGCTACAATAATTGGTTGATTAATGGATTAGTTGATTGGTTTTTGCTTTTAAAAGGTCAAGATTTGCATATGTAGTCAAGTTTAATATCTTTATGCTTTTAATTGGACAAAACAAGGTAATTTCAGACATTCCTGTGGGCTCAGAGAAGATGGAGAAAGTTTGTGCATATGCATGAGGAAAATTACAGTATCTGGGCAGAGAAGAGAAAGACCCCACATCCAGCAGCTCCTAAAATAGCTTTGGTGACAAGAAGGTCTTGACTGCACTCTGACACATGTTCCTCCCTTGTGTTGTGCACAAATAAGCAGCAAGAAGATGTCATCACTTTAAACTGTTTAACCATTGCATACAAAAACACTTAAGTACAAGAGTCCGGAAGCAACCAAACCAACTGCTGCTGTGCTTTAGCTGTGAGTAAAATCCAATGGAAAAAGCTGCGTCGTGATATTTGGATATGACATGTGCTCAGTCACTGTGCTAGATGGTTTCATTGGACCAGGTGCTAAATATCAGGAACAGCATCCCTCAGATGTCTCTGGAGTTACAGGATACATAAAACCACTTAGCTGCTGCCCTCCATCAGCCTCACTCTCTCCTCCCACTAAATGCCCTTCTACCTCTCTTCCCATACACCTCCTGTTCATCTTTTTCTAGCTCCCACCCTTTCTCTTTCTGTTGCCCACCATTTCACTTGGTTTCCGGTCCAAGGTGTCTCATCCTGCTCTTCCTAACATTTGTCACCATAACTCCGCCGTCCAGCTCTCAGAGGTATCATTTGCCATGAAGATCAGGTCTGCCTCCAGATTTGGCTCAAACACTAATCCCTTCTAATCAGCACACTTCTCAGCAATGCCCAGAAGTGTTTCTGGCATTACAGCAGCCAGCAGGTCCTCCCACAAACAACCTATAATCTGTCTTGGTCTATGGATAAAGTGTCTTTGTGGGGGGCTTTTAGCATATGTAGGACAGTGTGTCTTTACTGGAATCTTGCACATGTAGACAGATATCTGATCAGAACAATGATCTTACCCCCCCAAACAACTAACCCAGAATCCATCAGTTAGGCTCATGTTTTGCTCCTCTCAGTTGACCAAGAGTTCTGCTTGCAAAGCTGCATTTCTCTACTAAAGTTTTTTGTTTGTTCATAGCAGTTTCATCCCCAACCAGGAATTACACTCTGAGGCTGTAAACTCTCCTTCTGAAAATGGACACCTGGTGCCTCTCAGTTCAGGTCTACACTACGCCAGTGTGATTCAGTCCATGTATATTTTGGGAGATTTTAATTTTTGCCTTTACTACAAATATTAATAGAGAGCAGTGAGGAAATGAGGGTTTGTGTGTATTTTGAAACCATCCCCTTTAATGTGAACCATAATAACAGGAATCAAAATGACCATTATTATATTAGCACTGAAGTCAGCACAGCTAAAGGTTGATAAAAATGCCCTTAGCTAGTGTGGAAAAAAAATTAATCTATATGAAACTGTTTCCATGTTCACCAAATTAAAAGATATGAAACTGTTTCCATGTTCACCAAAGTTTTATAATGCTTTATGCTTGATTTTTGTAAAGCACCTCTTAATTGTTGATTTTGATGGGTTAAAAAATACTTCATCTCTGCTAGCCCTAAAACATAAATAACTATCTTATGAAGGGAAATTTATCTGGACCAGTAGACTTTTAAGAAGAAATCTAAATCAATTTTTAGACACAGTTAAACTCATGTACAGCCCAACAGATACAGAACAGAGCTGTTCTCATTGTACCAATCAAATCTGGAGCTGCTTTGGTTGTTACTCCCATGAGAATAATAACAAACTGTATGAATTAGAAAAACATGAGATTTTCAGGGTTGGTTCCACAGTTTCTAAAAGGAAGACAGTAGTTTATGTCTGCAGTTTGGACCGCATTTTAAAACAGAGTGGAATTTTCCTTTACCTTTCACTTGTAAATAGTCTGTTGTCCAGTTAAAGAAATGACACTGACTGCTACTCACCAACAATCTCACGGATCGGCACCGGCTCAGCAAGTGTACTAGGTTCACTGCGGCCACCAGGGTTTACTGCCACCACACGCACATGCAGCAGGTCACCAGCTGTTAGATTCTTGATGCAGTAGCAATTAGCTGGGTTCAGCTCCTTGTTAGCTACAACCCAGTCTGATGCTGCAGGAAAATCTAGATCTTATGTTATTTATATACAGTTTTCATTTTAGTTATGCATAAACACTTTTGTACATATTACTTAAGGATTTTTTTCATTGTTCAAATTGTAAAACATCTTTTAATGGGATATGTTAAGTGGTTTATTACCACATACAGTATAGTAGACATACTTACTTCCATCTTTACGGTACTCGATGGTGTATCCGTCCAGACCGGCCTCTCCAATGGTCTCTGGTGCTTTCCATTTAATGGTGAGGCTAGAGTCATTCACATCATCCACGGATACATCCAGAGGTGCGCTCGTGGGGACTAAGGAAGTTTGAACAGTTAACTACTAGTCAAAATGGACAACAGAGGGATGAGCTGAAATAACACTGAAAATACAGACAAAATTTAAAAATGACCTACTTTAAGGTTACATGCAGGACTGAGGCTAACAATTATTTATCAATGAAAAGAAAATGGTGAAAAATATCTATCACAATTTCCTAATGCCCAAGGTGATGTTTGCACATCTTGTTTTGTCCAACCAAAGGTCCAAACCTTGATGTTGTTCAGTTTAGTATCACATAAGGCAAAGAAAAGCAGTAAATCTCCACAGCTGAGAAGCTGAAACAAAATATTTAGCAATTTTGTGTAACCAGTTATCAAAATACTTGCAGTTTAATTTTCTTCTGTTCAACTAATTGATTTCTTGACTAATTGTTTCAGCTCTAATTACTGTTCTTAAACTATGTATAATACACATCAATATCCATAATGATGAAGTATAATCAAAAGTTTTAGTCCATTTTAAAGCAAAAATGCAGTTTCCAGTTTCTCAAAAACAACAATTTGCAAGTTTTCTTTGTCATACATGGTGGCAAACTGAGTACCTTTGGGTTTGGGGCTGTTGGTCAGGTAGAACAAGATGGGTGAAGCATAAACATGGGCTCTTTCTGGCATTTTATAAACAAAACTATTAAAATAATCAGCAGATTAATTGATAATGAAAACTCATCATTACTTGCAGCGTTAATGTTAAGTTATTATTCAATATGCCTGTAAGCCTTTTATCATTGTCTGTCAGGGAGTTCAGTTAAATTATATCCTTTGCAAAGTTTTCCTACAACAAAAGGGAAATGGTAGGTTACCTGCAGAAGGTGGGGGTGTGGGGACAACAGGTGGCTCCTCGACTACAACAGCTTCTGCTGGAGCAGCTACCATTAAACAACCAAGAAGTTAGTGTTGTTTTAGAAACTTCAGCAATAAAGGCCTGACAAACATCTAGACCATCTTTTCCATATAGTGCACACTTCAATCTGCAGCTTTTTAAAAACTCTTTCAATTACATTTTAAGTTTGGATGAGTTACTGCACTGGTAAAGGCACAATGAAGTTCAAAGCATGATGGACAGCACTTAATTTAAAGAAGGCATTCATCATTGTTTGCAGCACAAAATGTTTTTTTTTTTTTTTTTGCTGAACTGTAATGTTGCTGTCTGTGTGGTGGTTTACATCTACTGCCCGGGAGCATCAGCAGCGAGGGCAGTGCCACAGTTTTCAGCAGCAGGAGCAATAGCTAGCATTAAAATGCCATTAGGAAGGTCAATTAGTGACTTCCATTATGACATTACTCATGCAGAGAATAAATCAGTTCCAAGCTAATTTGATCAAGGAGTACTCCACTGAAGCAAACAATGGGACAGAGAAGTGTGCACAAAGCTTTCTGTACTCACACTGACAAGAGCAGATGGTTTTATAACCCAAAAACTGATACCGGACTCATAAACAATACAAGTCATTCAAATAGATCCAGTATTGGAACGCCTTTTTCTGCAGGTAGATGAGGAATCATTCATGAACAGATACATAGATAAATATCCGGTTCATCTCTGGAATTACCAATACAGTATCTGGAGGGTGCTGCTACTTGTTCCATAAAAACTCTTACAAGAAGTACTTCTACAGGGTCCAGTGACTAAAATATATGGTGAAAGCATAAGTACCAATAACATGCTGGGATTTACCATTAGCGGTTGGATAATAAAAGGGGTTACTTCTAGAGCTGAAAACAGCCTGAATACGACAAATATTGTTGTTGGTCTATTTGTTCAGTCAAAGACCTGTAAATAAGGTATGGTGACTGCTATGGACTTTAGTGTCCAGTCTCCAGCAGCCCTCCAGCACCAGACAGATTAGGTGGGTTTCCACCTTATCTGGACACTTTTTATTTTACTGAACAGGGAAAACTTTTTTTTTAAACTGTCTTTAAGTTGTAATGACTTTGAAGAATTTGGGCAGGTAAAAAATCCCCATCAGTAACAAGTGATATTCCAATAAACTAGTCCCTCTCATCCAGGTAAGACTGTTCAGTAGGCTCAGCTTGATAGCTGATGGCATTTCAGTTTATTACAGCTAAGTTTAAACTTTTTCCTATTCTAATTATTAATCTGTCATAGTTTTGCAGGGGAAAAACTTCTGTTCAGTGACATTTTTTCAGGTTTAATATTACATTATAAAACATTTAGACTATGGTTTTTATGACTCCTCGTGGTTTTGAGTTTTCCTAATTATAATAAGGGCAAGAACTAGATAACTAGACTTTTTTGTGAACGTAGTCATAATGTGTGCACTCACCTATTTCTACCAGCTGCCAGTGAAACTAAGCAGGCAGACGGAAACAGAGTCTTACAACAGGGTATGGCTCTAAATCTGCTGTACGTCAAACCTCAGCTAGCCTATTTACCTTAGATTAGTAAAGTTTCGCAATTAGGCTATTAGGGTGCCTTTAATTCCAAGGCAGGCCCACCTGGAGCGCTTCCTTCCTCAGCGGTGACTTCCACTCTGGCGGCGTTGGGTTCGTCTCCGTCCGCAGGAAGAGCTTCCTCGTTCGGGGTCTCGCCGCAGGTGGAGACTCTGTCGGAGGAGGCTCCGGTGTCTTCTTGGCTGGAGACTTTTTGATGGCCACAGGTTTGCCATCCATTGCGCCGATAGAATGATATTCCTCTGACTGAACATCCCGAATTGACCAATATAACATGAGGGTTAGTGGGCCTGCCTGTAATGTCCCCTCCCCACCTCAGTCACACCCTCATCTCTGTATGAACCTCTACAGGCAAGAAAAAACAGGCTAGTTTTAAAGCAAATACATTATTTTACGTTTACAAGCAATTGACAAAAAGCACAAAACCTACAGTGATGTCCATAAAATAATTTGCTGGATAACATTATGAAAGCAGACAACCAAGCCAAACAACAGGTAGTGATTCAAAGAATGGCATGACTTTATTGTAACCACTGCTTAATGTTAGATGGGATTTGATGTGTTTATAGAAACATGCCATACAACCATCATTAGGCCCCCTTTTCAAGCCACATGCTTCTTCCTGCTGGAGGACAACAATAAAACCACAGCAGATGCTCATTTTCTGCATACATGGGGCCATGTCATCTCTAGATCTCTACACTTTTTAAGTGATTGTTGTCGCAGATGCACTGACTATTTACACTGTGTACAATAGTGATGTCATGTACAAAAGAGAAAGAAACCTTTACAAATATTTGCATAAGAAAAAACAAATGCCTGTTTTTGAAAACAATGCAAAGAAGGAAGATATCCGGTTATTCTCTTGAAAACGATGCAAAGAAGGAAGATATCCGGTTATTAAAAATCTCTCCTGTGATAAGGTATAAGTGTGGTAGGTCCAATAAAACACTTTGGGAATGCAGAAGGATACTTGCATCAACATTGCATTTCCAGGATTCAAAACCTATTCTATCCTTCTATTTCAACAATGTCTCAGACAGCTTATCAAAGATATCCAGTCTTTTACACTTACGGTGTCAAATCTCACAGAAGCAGCCATGTCATGATACACATTCTTATCTACTGCTGCCTTAACTGACACACGTTATCCTCCACCCAGATCTGGGCATCAAGGTGACAACATTAAGATGATTTGACATCAGAGTAGGTGACAGGAAGTGCTGATATTTCTTCTAAATGGAGGCCTTTGTGTGGTATAGTAGATTCAAGCAGCTCAGAAGCAGCTTTAGGCCAAACTGTGTTTCAGGCACAGATGAACTTAGGCATCATATATCTACTTTCCACCGGCTCCCTGTTTGAAAAGTAGAGTAACATCTGGACAGAATATGGCAGTCTGAGGTACTTCAGGGTCAGCAGGGAACAGAGATAAGAGGCTTAAGAATAGTTCTACTGCCTATGGTTTCCTCCTGCTATGCATATTTTTATGCATTCTTCCTTCATCGCAAGAACAGTCTAGATGTGAGCAATAAATACTCTGTAGTACTCTCCAACATATATTATGTGCAAACCAATGAAGGAAAGAAATGGGAGGAAGCCATTATTACGCCCAGCCCTTCTCTTACTGTAACTCTGGTTTTTACAGTTTGAAAAAAAAAAAGCTATCAAAGATATAAAGAGCAAATCTAATGAGGAAGGGAAAAGTTATTTGTACATATCACTTGACAGGTTCTTTACTGGTGTTCTCCACTTCCTCTTATTGACAAATGAGGACGTACACTACCTGCAGCTGTTGATAATGGCATGTTTGGTTTATTTAGCAGGTGATAATTACTGTAGATAGAGTGGATGATCTTTGCAGATGACTTAGTATAAAATCCTATAAAATCAAGGTTTTCAAAATTGTATCCTCATCTATCACAGGAAAAGTTTTAAAGTTTTATAATCAATATCTAAATACAGAATAGACGCAAGCATAGCCAGAGATAGTAGGCTGTTTTGGCAAATTAGATAAACAAGCAACCCCGCCCCCGTGTTTACAATACTGTATGTTGAGAATAGGGTCAGTGTCAGTTTCTGTTGTTATGATATCCATTTATTACTGGAGTAAAGCAGTAATAAAACCATTTCTTGAACAGGCTGACCCCAAAGCTGATTCATTATTCAGTTCTTTTTTCACCCATTCATGTTGCTCAGCTTCATGTCAATTGCATTTTATCCACAATGAATATGTCTGAATGACACAATGGCTGAACTCAAAAGATGAGAGAGAAAGAAATGGAAACACTTAAGGCTATTTTTCATAGTTGTGTTATTGAGCGGGTATGATGTTCTACTGAGGCAGGAACTGGAACCACACTATCATCTAGAGGATGTGCAAGGAACTGCAAGATTTAACCAAACTAATAGGCCCCCAGTCACTGGCACAGCCTCCTTGTGTCCAGTTACCACAAGTAGAAAATAAAGTGCATTTTGGCTGTTGTTGAGTGATGGCGCTACTTTTTTTACTTTTCAGGTGAGTTTCTTTCTTAGATGAAGCCTTCAAAGAAAACCAGTAAGCACCAATATTTTGAGTGAAAGGTGTGGCAATCACATAAAAACAAAAGAAATTGAACAAATTTTTCTTGGATCAATGGGAGTATAGGTAGTATTTTGCATTATATGATTCTGGTTACCATGCACTTGCAAATTCAAAAACCCACTTTGGACCAATTGAGGGCAGAGAAGATACAGAT